CGGTATGTGAGGCTTTCATGATACAACCCTGCTCTCCCATTTTCTCCTTCTTACAGGGACTCTGGGTAGCAGCCAGACTAAACTAGTCATCCTTTCTCCCCTATATTCCCACAGCCCTGCTCTTGCAGAGGCTCAGACACCCTTCTCCACTGTCTACCAGTAATTTGCCAAATCTTGCTCATCCTTCTAAGATCATAAGAAAAGCCCGTTCCCAGAGGAAGTATTCTCTGATTCCCAACAAAGCTCTTCCTCCCAACACCCCTGAGTGCCTACATCGCCACCATCTAGTACCACTACTGTCACCATTAACATGACACATTGATCAAGTATCTTTTATGAACTGTTTTTTAATGCATTTAATCATGATGTGTTTGCCCTGAGAATTAAATGAAATCCCACAAAAAAAGTTGGCCATTGCTTTCCATCAGCCACTACTATTCACCTTGAGAGATGTTTTTGCACCCACCAAGTCATCCAGTCCAGCCCCTTGGCATCTAGCATCTTCTAAAACAACAATTTTAAGGAATGTTAGAGACCAAATAGTGACTTAGGGCTAGCTTTCCCCAATCTCTTCACCAATATTCCCTTCTCATTCCCCAATAAAAGGATGTACCATCTCCCATAGTTGTCACTTTCTCGGAGAGACCATCCTTGCCCACCAAGTAGGAAGCAGTCTCAGCCCATTATAGTCTTCCTGTGCTTTTTCCCCAGCCCTTGTCCTAATTGAATGTGTATGCTTATCATCCCTTGCTTTTATAATGTCTCTTTCCCCCACAAGTCTATAACTGTGCAGGAACAGATCGTGACAATTTTGTAACCTGCTGAAATAGTCATTTCTTAAATAATCATTGTCTGTTACATACACTGTGTTCTCCAACTTTGCTGATCATTTTTTAACTTTAAATATTTCATAGTCAAATCTGTTTATCTTTCTAGCATGGCTTTTTAGGTTTCTCTTAATGTAATTTTTAATTGCTTCCTTGGAATATGTTCCTACAGGTGGAAAGTTGAATAGGCATCTCCTTAAGAGTCTTGATGCATTTTATCTAATTGAACATGCCCAGTCCCCTGGCAAAAGTGTGACTTGCCTTCTTAAAACTCTACCAGTGGCCTTAGTTTATTAGATGTTGCAGGCAAGCTGGCTGGAATTCATGTAACGGTAGGTAAGCATGCCCCTAAAAACTTTGGGAATTGAGTGCCTCAAGCAGAGATGCTGTGCTCAGCACTGTGTACAGAGGGACACTTTAGTACACCCCTCTGACCATTAGCACCAGATTATTTGATAGTCCTCTCACAGTTTGCTTTTACTCAAATGAATGCACATGTTTGTCCTTACCCATTGTTCCTGAATAATTCCCTTTTCTGTATTTCTGTAGCGACTGGATCACCTCCAAGATTTGTGTCAGCCTGAAAATATGTCACTGTCTTTCCTGGTCACTTGCTTATCATGGTACAGGTTTTCCCTGCTATCCAAAAGTAGGGTGTTTCTATGACACTTTTCGTCAGCTGAAGTGGCATTAAGCAAAGAAGCGATTACCGTTAATTTATATGGAAAAATCTTTGAGAGTTCCCATACCCCAAAATAACCTACCAAATCATACCAAATCCACTTAATTACATACAGTTTTCTACTAAGTGTACCACCCTTATCAACTCTCTTAGGCTTTTCTGATACCTTAGGACACATCACGTCAACAGATGCACAAAATACATTGAGATGAAGCACAGCTGCTCACAGACACAGTTCGGAGGCGTGCGGGTGTGAGGCTGAGATGCTGAGTACAGCTCCCGGGGAAGCGGCTTGGTGGTGCCGTCCTGTTGTTCTGACTACGTGCTGCCTCCATAGAGCTTGCTGGGAAACAAAAACAGAATGCTATTTTCGCTTTCCCTTTTTTCTTACAAAATCAAAAATCCTTTCCAGCTTTCTTTCAGTTAGAGAGAACAGGTACAGGTTTTTCATAAAAAGAAAGTGGTGTAACACGAACTCTCGAACTTTCGGAAAGCAAGGGATACTTGTCATTATAGTGTCTTAGCCAACTGGGTGAACAGCTTGACCCGGCTATTCTAGTCCAGCTGCCATAACTGTTGCCAATTATAACACCAGTTCCCGTCATAGGGAAATGACATTCAAGAATGTAGTTCACTTTACTGTGAGAGTAACCTGATAAATATTATTGGATGGGATGACGTGGGGACAAAAGTTTGGTGACCTCGGTTCACATTTAGCTCTTAGCCATCTCTGTAACTGTCATAAGACTTCACCTGACTTTGAATCATCACACAAGTCAGGACAGTAGGCCGGGTCAGTCAGGTCAAGCACTTGGTGGGGTTTTCCTAAATGAGAACTGCCTGTAATGTATCCTTTCCACTGCCTTTCCTCCGCAGATTAAAGGGTATAATTCTTTTTAATACGTACTTTTGCTTATTCCAGATCCCACACACATGGTGAGAAAAAGCAAATGCATACTTTTCTATTACTTCTGTTCTTGGGGTGTAATCAAGAAAAAAGAAGGGATTTTTACTTTAAATTTACTTGCTCCATCAGAGAGTTTTATCAATTGATTGATTGATTTAGCTTCTGGGACACCTGTTTTTCTTGTTCTTTTTTTGTCTTTTTTTTCTTTTTTGCTTTACCAAGCTACACAAATATGTAACAAAGGTTTCAAAATACAAAAATATAAATCACAATAGTAACAAGACCTGTTTTCAAAGGGATATGCAATTTGGAACTTTTCCTATGTTTCCCCAGCTTTAGCAGCAACAAAACAGGGTAGAAATGACAAAGATGCATCCGGCATAGTCCCAACCCTGATGTCTTTCAAGGCAAGGTGTCCGGGGAGGGACAATGTGAGAACATAAGTAGCTACAATATAATGTCATAAGTGACAAAGGCCATATTTGGAAGAGCAGGGAGAGAAGTAAAGCAGGAAAAATCTTTTGCAGAGCCTAGTTTGAGCTGGGCATTTAAAGCTAGAAAAGAATGTCTTAGGCCAAGATTTGGATTAAGGACATTTTATACAGTGAAACAGCGCCAGCAAATTCTTGATGGAAGAAGAAAAGGTGGGTCAAACTGACAAACTGATTCTTTCTAATTTTGTTTTTAATTAACAGAATTAAACCCAAAAGAAAGAAGCAAATTGATGGCCTTTTATTGACAGGAAAAAGTTCATGTATTTTGGGCAGCTCCTCAAGTCTCAGCCAAAAAGGTACTTCCAGTTTCTGATGTGTGCTGTTTGCTTGTTGAAAGAACTCTTCAGGCTGTTTGTTCTTCTCTCTGTCCAATGGCAGAGAAATCCATACTTTTGAACGCAGCTGATTGGCTACTGTAAAAGCCCGCTCTGAGCAAGGACCAATGAGCTCCCGGAGCCCAGATTCTTGGAAATAGTTTCTGGCCGGGAACGCGTGACATTGAGAAAGCCTTGCATTTGTCAACAAGGACGAGTCTAGGCTGGCCCTCTGCCCACGCGATCCAGCGCCGTGTCCCAAGTGGCTGATCTCCAGACTACCTACTTTCGGATGCCCACTTCGGCTTCCTCCTACCCCCTTAACCCTCACAGCCTCTTGCACCTGCGCCAGCACACTCGGACGTGACTACCAGCAGGGATCGGGGCCCAAAGTTCTTTCTCTGAGTGGATTGGCCTGGTCCCAGGCTCGGGACGCGTCTCCAAGTCCCAGTGACTCCTCCCCGTTGGAGTTGGGGGGAGGGTGCGGGGGAAACTAATAAAACCGCTGGAGACAGCCGGCGGTGGCTAGGCGAGCACTGGAGTCTCAAGACACTTGCTGCTCCTTTGACTCACTGCTCCTTCTGACCCGCTGCCGGACTCCTCTGCTCCGTAACTCTCCTGACTCAGCCCAGACAGAGGTGCACCAGCCCATCAGCACACCTGCGCTGCTCGCCTGGACGCGACCCGCCCGCTCCTCCATCGCTGACTCTGTCCCTTGCAGCCTTCGCCAGCAAGCCAGCCCCGGCCAGGTCCTGTGGGCATCAAGATGAAGGCGGCCCGCTTCGTGATGCGCAGTGCCCGCTCGCTGAGCGGCGCTAGCCTGGTCCCCCGCGAGGTCGAGCATTTCTCGCGCTACAGCCCGTCCCCGCTGTCCATGAAGCAGCTGCTGGACTTTGGTGAGTGAGGACAGAGGGTCCCGGCGGGGGCGTTGGGGTTGGGGTTGGGGCTGGGGAGCTGCCTTAACTTTAAGTCCCGGTGCAGGGAAGGCTGGCCTCTTTGTTTAAAAAGAACTGGGGTCGGACTTTCTGCTGAATCCTAGTTCATCGACCACCAGCACACCTTGCCTTCTACATCCGCCTTCTTCCTGACAGTTTTTGTCTACAGGTGGAGGCCACCTGTGGCTCCGCTGATGCTGGATGGTTTGAGCTCATCTTTCCGTCCAAAGCATCCGTCAAAATACTTTTGCGTTAGGTCGGCATTTAACAATGAATGAGAAACTTGATCCCTTTGCCGCACAGGATTTCTTGGAAAAGATTCCTAATTTTATAAAGTAGCCTAAAATTAATTGATGTTTTTAGCCCTCGGCTGCCCTTCACAGGATACAGCTCTGCATTCCTAACAAATTTCTTTGCTTCTCTACCATTAAAGTTTTCTAAAATATTTGCAAAACTGGCAAAAGTATTTACAGACTTTCCACAACAATCTTACAAGGAAAATTTCAAGGATTTGGATGTGATATTATTTATTTATTTATTAGTAATCTGGAAACATCACAACTTCCACCCCGCCCTCTGATCTCCTACTCCAGTTTTATAATTGAAACTCTAAACATTGTGGCCTTGACCGAACCCTGCATTCTCTCATGACTATTAAAAGCTGTAGGGGTCATCTGACTTCGTGGAGGTGAACCCTCTTTAAAAAACAACAATTCCCATATTAGTAACTTAAAAAAAAAAGACAAGATGATCCTTCTGAATTATCTATAAACTGTAAACCAACCGAGGGTGAAAATAACTTTATTTCATTTTATTTATTTTTATATGAAAAACACTTTAAAAAGTGCTGGAACGCTTCACGAATTCATGTCACCCCTGTGCAGGGCCCGTGCTAATCTTCTCTGTCGTTCCAGTTTTTAGAATGTGTGCTGTGGAAACGAGCACTGAAAATGGTTGTATGATACATGCAGGTGTTTAATGCTGGATAGTTCATGCTATTTGAACACATCATCTAGACATACTTGTTTCCCAATACTAAATAAACGTTCATTATTACAGGTTCCGAAAACGCATGTGAAAGAACTTCTTTTACATTTCTGAGACAAGAATTGCCTGTGAGGCTTGCCAATATCCTGAAGGAAATTGATATCCTTCCTGATCGATTAGTAAATACCTCTTCCGTGCAGTTAGTTAAAAGCTGGTAAGTAGCGAACCATTCTGAAACAGTCTCTAGTTTTAAGACAGTTATCTGAGTGTGAGTTCTTACAATATATTAGTATCATAGTCGGAAAACAGGTGAATTGAATAGTAAATACTTTTGAAATATGTAAAGAATTTTTATTAGTTTAAAATAAGTTATGATGAGGGCAATTATAAAACTAGCGACTGACATTTTATCCTGAAAAAGGAGATTCTTGCACAATATAATTTTTATTTCTAGGGGAAATATGAAAACTATTTGACAGTTACAATTTGCTTTGTATTTCAAATAATAAAGACGGCTTGATATTGCAAAAGGAATCCTATACTAGAAGTAGATATGAATGACTGCTATTCATAGAGGGCCTCACCTTTTTTCATTACAAACCAATTAACAGCAGGCTCTGGGTTCACATCCTGCTTCTGCCTCTTAGTTGTGGAATGCTTGGAAAGTGTCTTAAGTTCTCTATGCCTCAATTCCCCCATCTCTTACTGAGGAGAATAAAGTATATGCCACAAAGGGATAGTGAGTGTAATTAAATGAGGCCATCCATTAAAAAGCACTTAGAGTATGTAGCACACAGCCAGTAATCTGTCAGTTATAATCATCTCCATTTATAAATAAGGATACTGAGGCTTAGAGAGCATAGATAATCCAAAGGAGCAGATTTTCAGAGACTAGCTCCAGGATAGACACTGAGGCAGGTTGGCACCAGAGCCTCACTTTAATCTACTGACTGCATAGCTTTTCGTTCATTGATTCAAGAAATATATGTATCATATACTCATTAAACAATTACAATCTGAAGTACATATTCAATCCATAGTATGTACTTCCTTCAAGACTTCTATTCACCTGTTAATGGATTAGGAAAAAATATGCATGTTTTCTTAGAATGTTGCTTTTAAGGGCTTTTGCTATTAAAAAAAATACATTTGCCAAACAAAACAGAAAACAGATCTGGAATAGTTAAAGGAATAAAAATTTTAATTTAGGAAGTTAAGGATTAAAGTTGTAGCTTTTCTTTTGTGATGTTGTTTTCCAAATGTCTTGGAGTTTTCATTTTTAAGCATAATACTTTCTCTTTTCAAATCATTTGGAAAAGATACTATTTTCAGCCACTTGTATCTCACTATTCAATGAAAGAATTTAAAGCACACCTGTCACTTTACAGGTACATCCAGAGCTTGATGGATTTGGTGGAGTTCCATGAGAGAAACCCAGAAGACCAGAAAACATTATCAGAGTAAGTTCTACGTGTTAGATTAAGTGTCTAAAACTTTGACTATTTCCAGACATACTCTTGTAATAAATGATATGCACACTTATAATCTAAGAAATAGAATTGAATGAACCTTACTCGAACCTTCACTAAATACAAATGTGTTTTTTGGCTTAGTTTTGTAGATACTCTCATCAAAGTTCGAAATAGAAATCATAATGTAGTCCCTACAATGGCACAAGGAGTCATAGAATATAAAGACGGCTGCACAGTCGACCCAGTCACCAACCAAAATCTTCAGTATTTCTTGGATCGATTTTACATGAACCGTATTTCTACCCGGATGCTAATGAACCAGCACAGTAAGTTAGTTTATCATAGTCATGATATATGGAGATGGGTGTAGACTATAAGCCATTTTCTAACTAGACTATTTGGTGGGTCACATTTTGTTGGTCAGTAGTAATTCTAATCATTATTATCCTGATTTTTATATAATATGTTCATATTTATGTTTCAACAGTTCTTTTATTTAGTGACTCAGAGACAAGAAACCCAAGCCACATTGGAAGCATTGACCCCAACTGTGATGTAGTAGCAGTGATCCAAGGTAATTTCTTCATTTCCCTTATTGAAAATGTATACTATATGATATGGTTGACATACAGTTGCAGTGACTCTGTAAATAAATTCATACTCAGAGTTTTCCCTTTATATTTTTATGAATACTGTCATGAAAGTCTTTTGTTTTTGAAGATCAGGGGTCTAAACATGCATTTATAATGTTATAAAAAATCCAAACATCAGGTTAAGATGTCATATTCTTTTATAGTATTTGATCTCTGATGTGTGCATATTCCTATTGCTATAACTGAAACACTGTCATAATTCTTTCTTCAATAAAATACTTAAAAGTTTTTTTTCATATACATAAACTTGTATTCTAATGCACATTTTAGCTTAAGAGTAGTGTGTGTACTGAAGATCACTTAAAATTTTTACTTGGCACAAATTCATTTCATCATCTTGGAAAAAAACCTTCTATTCCAGATGCCTTTGAGAGTTCAAGGATGCTTTGTGATCAGTATTATTTAACATCTCCAGAATTAAAGCTCACGCAAGTGAATGGTAAGCTGTGAATAAAATACATTTTAATCTGTGTAAAATTCAGTGTTCTCCCACTGTGATTAATAGTGTAACTACAAAGCAACTTCTGTGTTCCAATTTTCCCTTCTGAATGTGCCTAGTTTGTACACTTTTAAATTTTGAAAACCGAGATTCTCTTTATCTCAACCAGAAAGTTCCAATTGAGCATATTCAGTTGCTAGTGATGACTTATAAAGAACAGTTTGGTATATACAGTAACAATTTAGTTCCGATATCTTAGACTGAAGGAAGATTGCTTACTTCAGAATAGGGTGGAGAGGAGCCAGAAGTAGGAGGAGCCACGCAGTAGTGGAGATATCCTCAGAAAGAGGTTACTCATCAGATCTGGAGACAAAAGTACTTTCAGTTGCACTATAAGAAATAAGCCAGTCACAGGAGGACAAACACTGAATGATCCTTACTTACATAAGGTGTTTAAAATAAGTAGGACTCAAAGAAGTAAACGGTGGTTACTAGAAACTGGGAGGAGGGGGGAGTGAGAAGTCACTATTCAATGGGTATAAAATTCTACTTATGCAAGATGAGTAACTTCTAGAAATCTGCTGGACAGCACTGTGTTTAGCAATACTACATTGTACACTTAAATATTTAAGAAGGTGGCTCTCATGTTAAATGTTCTCACCAAAATTATTTTTAATGTGCTATAAATATATACCAGTTTTGGAAACAAAGCATACTTTATTTAGTAGCTTCAACTGAAGGGTACCTGAAAAGATAGTCTTCCTTCATTACTGAAATGATTACATGAGGAATTCGAGGCACTGTTTTTATCCTATCCCATAGCTGCTTCTCGAAGCATGACAGCATACTTAAATTGGAATAACCTTCTCTTTTCAGTTCAAAGTAAACATCTTTTCCAAGTAATAGTTATACATGAACAATGTTCATTGGTGGTGAGAGTGAAAACTAAGTTGTTCAATTTATGAGTAGCCTAACTTATGGGTTGGGGAATATGCAAATGTAATCGATTGCTAAACTAAAAACTACAAATAAAGATTGAGAACATCTCTAAACATTAACAGAATTGTTACATAACTTTAGATAAACTGCTTGAACTGCTTGATAAAATAAAGAACGAATTAAGCCAGTCCTTGTGTTTTCTGATTCAAACTTTGCCAAGGCCTGGCAAATCAGAGAATAATTCTTTTGTTTTTTCTTTTCAAACAGTATTATGAGGTTTTGTTTCCCTGTTTTCCTTAGCCTCTTGGTGAAATTTGAGCATATTTAGTTTATAAGATTTGGTATTTGATTGATAAACAATCAAGAACAATCAGGCATGTTATTTTCCCATAGTTTTCTATGTGTTACTTCGATTTCCAAATCTGAAAATTATAGCTAGCTTTATTTTTGATGTTACCCTATAGCCACATTAATTTTTTCTTCTCTCTTACAATGATATTGTCCAGTACAAAAGTTTGGAAAATAGAAAAATAATCCATGTAGTCTAATTTATAGCACCCTTGTCACACACTTCATCTGCTTCATACATTTGTAGAGAAATGCAAAAACTCATCATAGAGCACTAGGCAGCAACTGTAAAAGCATGTTGAAAATAAGCCAGTTGTGTTTTCTGCTTAAAAGGGAAGGTTCTAGGGTAGGATTTCGGAGTGAGGAGGATGGGAGTATGCCAATCCTGTTTAAGTCTAAAATATTGGTCAAATGGATATGGATATTTATTTTAATGAAGTATTTGTTCACTAATTCTAATGAGTTTCATTTTTTCTCCTAGCAAAATCTCCAGAACAACCAATTCACATTGTATATGTTCCTTCTCACCTTCACCATATGCTCTTTGAACTATTTAAGGTATGATGCTTCACCATGATTGCAGTTCTTTTTTATTAAAAATTCACTGGTTGCATTTTAAGTTCCTTTATCATTTCTGACTACACAGGAGCTTCACTGTCTTCTGCTAAGTGAGCTTCTGTGCACCTAAAAGGAAGATACAGTTAATGGTTGAAAGGGTACATAGAGCTCACTGTAGCATCGACATGCATTCGAGAATGCACAGCATGAATCGTGGTATCTCAGAGCTCCCTATTCCCATTATTTGTTCAGGTGTCCAACAAAGGACTATTCATTCGTGTATTCATTAAGAAAGTTCATGGGGTGAAGACTTCAGGGAATGAGGTCTTGTTTCTTCCACCCCCACAGACTGGTCCAAGTCCAAATCCAGAGGTTCAGATCCAGAATTCCTGTAAGTGGCAGGATTGCAACCCGAGTCTAGAATGTGCTCAGAGGACAGTCTGTTCCTTCCGTTAACCACTTCAACATGTACATGAATCACCTGGTGGTTTTGTTAAAATGCAAATACTGAGTCAGTAGGTCCAGGATGGGGCCTGAACTACTGAAGTT